CTGTGCTTCTCCACCACCTGAGGATTGTGGGTTGGAGGCTGAGGACCTTTCCCTGACCCAGCTCTTTATGGAAGGAAAGGACCTCCCCTCCTGAAACAACCAAACAACCCCCAAAAACTTCATTAACCTTTCTCAGGAAGTCACAGAATCCCGGAATAGCCGGACTGGGAAGGGCCCTCTGGAGCTCCTCCAGTCCAACCCCCCTGCCAAGGCAGGGCCACCTGGAGCAGGTGACACAGGAACACGTGCAGGTGGATTTGGAGCGGCTCCAGGAAACAGGGATAAAAGGAGCCCCACCAAAAGCCTGTCTGTGTAGTGAACTGCTTTGAGTGTGAAGTACTTCCTTGTGCCATAATTGTCTTCAGGATTGCTGCAGGATCTCTGCAGCTGGAAAAGGTTTAAGTCAGTTCAGTTGTTCCTCTGACTTAAAATACGGGGGCAATAATCCACATATGTGTACTTTTATAATATATATTTCTATTATTTTATGATAATACCCAGTATACCACACATTCATTAGTGTCTTTTCCAGATGCTTCTTCAAGTTTGATTCCCTCCCTAAATTCTGTAGAGAATAATTCCCTTCAACCTTCAATTTTAGTAATTTCTAAAAAAAAAAACTTGTCTTCCCAGGTGATTCTGTACTGGTAGAAAAAACCGCTGTTCTTCTTTCTGTCCAGCAGTTGCACTTCAGCCAACGTTTTGCACGCTGGGTTAAAACAGAGAACAAAGCCCAGTCTCACTCCTGGATTCCCAGTGTTTTCCTGCTGTTACTGTAGCTGCAAGAGCTGTGTCTGAAGGCTGTGTGTGATCTCAATAACGTGCTCTGTCAGAATGTTTAGGTGCTAAGTTAGAGCAGCCGTGGGAGGACAGAAACTCTTGTCAGGATGTAGGAAAAGCCAGATAGGATGGCAGCAGAGCCCAGGCAGGAAAGGCTTCCCACTGTTCTTCGTGACCAAGTCCAGGCCAGACTTTTCCTAATGCAGATCAGGCAGAGACAGATCTATCCACAGGTAGGAGGGAGGGAAAAGGTGGGATACAGTTTAGCCTAAGGATGTGAATGGAGTAAGAAAGTGGGAACGTTTACTTTTGCATGAAAATAAGACCAAGTTTCTGTAACCAGAGTACAGAAGAGTCAAATAATGACAAAATATATTGGTCTGCATGCAGATAATTCTCATGAGGAGGATAGTCACATTGCTCTCTCCTTTTATACTGTTAAACTAATGAGTAATGTATTTTAAGCTACTATTTTTTACCTCTGGAGAGTTCTGAAATAATGTGTTTGTCTTGCTGATAACACACAACTGATGTTGTTCCTTGGGCACTAATTGCATTTATGGTTTCATTTCTAGACTCTGGCACACAGCCTGCCTGGGAAAAGAGGGAGAAGTGATGGTGTTTGGTGGGAGCAAAGATGACCTGCTTTTCATGGACACAGTCAGTAAAGTGCATAATAAATCCTATCACTAGGATAATTATAATTGATATAAAATGATAGAGTTGTGGAATGGTTTGGGTTGGAAAGAACCTAAAAGCTCACTCAGTTCCACCCCCTGCCATGGGCAGGGACATCTTCCACTATCCCAGGTTTCTCCAAGCCCCATCCAGCCTGGCCTTGGACACTTCCAGGGATGGGGAGTCACAACCTCTCTGAGCAAATCAATTAATGTATTTATGGATGGGATTTAAATTAAAAACAAACAAACAACAACCAAACAAACAGATTGAGACATTGGCTCAAATTGGTAACTGAAACCATTAGAAATTATTCACCACTGAGGAATCCCCACCTGAAGCTTTCTTGACTGATGGAATAAAAAGGGATTTGTAATTCAGATTCTTCATAAGTAGTTATTTGGGTATTACCAGTTTTAAATCCTGCATGTGGTAATGAATGGGACATTAATCCAGAAAGCTGCACTACTGCTGAGATAAACTTTGCCATTTTAATGGTTCTTTTTTTTTTCTCTTGATCAGGGTCACTGCAGTGACTTGTTGATATTTCAGACTCAACCTTATTCCCTGCTCAGGTGAGTCGTGGTTACGGAATCACTGAATCCCAGACTGGTTTGGGTTGGGAGGGACCTTAAGGACCATCCAGTTCCACCCCCTGCCAGTTCCACCAGAGCCAGTTGCTCCAAGGGTTATTTTAGCCACGTGCTCCTGCACAGGCAGGTAAAATACCACACTACTTCCTCAGTAAATATTTGAACCATGCCATGTGTGATGATCCACAGCAGTTTAGTCCCTGCTGGTGAGTAATTCTGCACGTGCACCCACAACATCCGTAATTAATGCACAACACCAGCTTTAATAAGCTGTCACTTTGTCTTCGGATTACAGACCATTTACCTAAACATTTTTTTTTCCTGTTTTCCTTCTTCAGGCTGTGTCTTGACTGCATTGGGAAGAATGCAGCTCTCTTGAGGAACCAGATTCCCTGCCTGCCATCCAAACTTCTGCAGGAGGTGCTGAAAAAAATCACCTTCTGGGCCGCAGTGACCCACCGGCAGGAGAGGAAAGCCGAGACCGAGAGACAAAGTCAGCTCAACACCACATGAACAAGGGCAGGGCTACCCTGGGACACCTCCAAGTGTTTTGTTACTGCTGTTCCAGAGCAACTGTGTGTTAAGCTGAGTTTCTAAGTGAAGTTTGAGACGAAAAATCCTTTTTATGGGAAGTCTCTCTTGTTTTCTGCGCGTGGGAAACGGATGCGACATTCATTTGTATATATTGTTCATTTCTGTTGTGGTCTGAAGGAGACAGTCCATCCACCTTGTTCTGTTGGAAGGGGATACGATACAAAACGTTTTCAGTTGGATAAAAATACGGCTTAAAGTCTTAAAAAATCTTCCTCCAGCCTTATCACATCAGCCTAAATTAGTTCAACGCAGCGACCCGGTGGAGATCCACACTCGTCAGTCTTAAGAGGTAACAAATTCGGGAGCACCACCAGATCTTATTGTTTGATTCCACCAGCCTCTCCTCTCATCATCCACTCAAACAACGGAGCCCCACCTCGTGCTCCAAGTAGGAAAATCCATAAGGGAACCGTGGAACTTGAAGCAAAACCTGCAGCGAGCAGCGTGACCTGGTGTCGTGTAGGAAAACTCCTGCACACCACCTGGTTTTACTGTTTCTGTCATCACCAAGTCCTTTTGGAAATAAGTTGTATATTGTATTTTGGATGTGTAAAGTTTATATTTCATTCTTGTTTAAAAAAAAAAAAGCAAACAAAAAAAACCCACAAAAAGTTGCTTATTTATTGTTTACAAAGAGCAAACCTAGTACGGGCTATTTTTCTGTTTCAAATATTTAGTTAACAGGAGCACAGTCATTAAAATTTTATAGAGAGTTGAAACCAGGTCCATTTTGACCATTTTTTGGATGTTCTTACAATCTGTAAAACTTCACTACTTAGGGAAAGGATATTTGGAAGCAAATTTGTATCAAAGAGGGAAGTTTTGTGATTGGGATTTGTAACAGAGCTGTAATGTTGTGGTGTTAAACTCCTCCCCTCCTTTTTGGGGGTGTTCAGGTAATCCCCACCCCCAGGGTTTGATTTGGGAGGTTCAGGTGCCCTGTAAGCTTTGATTTTGGGGGTTCAGATGTCCCCCCACCCCCAGTTAATTTGGGAGACTCCCAAGATTAATTTTGGAAGGTTCAGGTGCCCCCTAAGATTTGATTTTTGGGGGTTCAGGTGCTCCCCACTATTAATTTTGGGGGATTCAGGTGCCCATCAGAGTTAATTCTGGGGGGGTCCAGGTGCCCCTAAGGTTAATTGGGGGGTTCAGGTCCCCTCCCTGATCAGTACTGGGGTCTCAGGTGCCCCCAGGGTTAATTCTGGGGGCTTCGTGTGCCCCTCCAGGTTAGTTTTACAAGGCTGGGGTGCCCATCCAGGGTAGTTTTGGAGGGCCCGGGTGCCCCCCGGGTAATTTTGGAGAGCCCGGTTAGTTTTGGAAGGCCCAGGTGCCCCCAGGGTGATTTTGGGAGGCTCAGATGCCCACCCAGGTTGGTTTTGGGAGGCTCGGATGCCCACCCAGGGTAATTTTGGGAGGCTCGGATGCCCATCCAGGGTAATTTTGGGAGGCTCAGATGCCCATCCAGGTTGGTTTTGGGAGGCTCGGATGCCCACCCAGGGTGATTTTGGGAGGCCCCGGTGCCGGGTGATTGGTGTCCCCACGCCTGCGCGGGCCGCCGGAAGGGGCCGGTTCCTGCGGGCCGGCGGATGTTGCGGGGCGGCCGCGGGGGAGGAGCGGCCGCGGAGGGGCAGCCCCGGAGCTGCGGAGGGGCCGGGGGGCTCGGGGGAGCCCCCACACCGCGGTAGGAGCGCGCCGGGGGCGCTGAGGGAGCCGGGGCGCGGGGCGGGCTCGGGCCGGGCCGGTAACGGCGGCGGGCAGCGCTGGGGCCGGGCATGTCGCGACAGGGGGACGTGTCGGGAGGAGCCCCCGCCTGGCCCGAAGCGTTCTGAGTGAGGTATGTCGCGACAGCGGGAGGTGGTGTCGGGAGGAGACCCCGCCGTCCCGTCGGGGTGTGGGGCGGCAGCGACCTGAGGGGGGCTCGGAGATGGCTGAGGGGGACGTGGCCCGGCGTGTCTGAGGGGTAACATCGGTAATGCACCTCGTATAAAATACATCTGTGTGTTATATAAATTATCTCCGTGAGGACAGGCACTGGGAACCCCGCTAGCCCAGAAGCAGGCGGGTCTCACGGAGCTGTGGGGCAGGGCTTTCTGATGGGAAGCGTAATTAAAGCTCAGAGACAACCCCCCCGAAGGTGGCGGGTTAATCGTGGGAGCAATTAAAATTAAACAGGAGCCCCTCAGGAGCGGTGTAGGGGAATATCAGACCCGGGATATCTGACCTGGAATATCCGACCCGGGAATATCTGACCTGGAATATCAGACCCGGGAATATCTGACCTGGAATGTCAAACCCGGGAGTGCAGGGTGTGGAGGTGCTGCTAAAGGACTAAAGGACCTTTTTGCCTGGCTTTGGTTGCACAAACTTGGGCTTTGGATCAGCGTCTTCCAGGGACACTGGGGTTTGGGAATTCGTCGTGCTGGTGGGATTGGGAGCAGGGAGGTTGATTTCGTGGAATTTTATGTGGGACAGGTGGTGTGTCCTGCACTGAACAGCTGTGGGAAGGTTTGCATGTGGGAGACTCTGCTTGGGACTTCGGGCCCAAAGGGACTTTATTGGGAAAGGTCTGTGAGTTTCCACTTTTGTGAAAACCATATTGGAGGCGAAGCTGTCAAATTTGTTCAGTTTTTGACATCCCAGAACGGTTTGGGTCGGAAGGGACCTTAAAGCCCATCTCATTCCATCCCCTGCCATGGGCAGGGACACCTTCCACTATCCCAGGTTGCTCCAAGCCCCGTCCAACCTGGCCTTGGACACTTCCAGGGATCCAGGGGCAGCCACAGCTTCTCTGGGCAAATCAATAACGTATTTATAGGTAAGATTTTGATTTTCTTAGAAATTTTTAATTCTTAATTTTTAAGATCCTTACGGGTAAGATTTTAATTCTTTTTTCAAAAACACAGACCTTGGCTCGAACCGGCAGCCGGAGCCGGGGCCGTTCACTTTCAGAGCCGGCCTGGACGATCCGTGCGGGTCCCTCCCGGCACATTCCCTGTAATCCCTGGGTTCTGTGTGCCCGCAGCACGTCCCGAGATGGCGGAGGAGAACGAGGAGCTGCAGGAGAACGAGGAGCTGCAGGCGGGCGAGGAGCTCCCGGCCCCGCCCGAGGACGGCTTCGAGCAGCTGGAGAACGACAGCCCCGCCGAGCGCAGCGGGCACGTGGCCGTCACCGACGGGCGCTGCATGTACGTCTGGGGAGGATACAAGGTACAGCTCCCCCTGGAATGACCCTGCTTTGGGAGCAACTCTCAAGAAGTCATCCCCCCCAGTTAACAAATTGGGACGTGGCACTGGGGTGTTTCGCAACGCCGAAATAAATCGCGAGGGTTCAACCTTGGCACGTAGAGGATTTTTGGGGGGGTGGGGGAGGACGGGGTGTTGTTTGGCAGCTCGTGCAGGGAGCGTTGTCTGGTTGGGATTGGGCGCCGTGGGAGGGGTGGCTTTGTCCCAGCGTTGTCAGCACAGCTGTGTGTCGGGTGCGCAGGATCCCGGGCTGGTGGCTGTCACGCTGGGGGGGTGCATGTGCTGCAGCACAGAATGATTTCACAGCTTTGACAGCAAGGTGAGTTGTCAGTGAGCTCAGTCGTAAATTGATGTCGTGCAGGGGGGTGGGGGAATTAAGAAGGAAGCTTTGGCTCATTTCTGCTCCCTGGCTTGGGCTGTAAAACAGAGGTTTAACTTCCATTTACCCACCTGGGAGCTTGTGTGGCCTCCAGCAGACACTGAATTAGGCTGATTCCTGCTCTCTATGCAGGTGGGAGGCCCAGGAGTGCAGCAGGCACTGCCCCTGCTGTGTTCTGTCCTGTGATTAGATCTCTGAGGGGGTGTGAACATTCCCAGGAGTCTGTAATTCCATGTGTCAAACATCCTTCTAAAGTTGCTTTTTCTCCTCTGTCCTGTTCTGCAGAATGCCCAAGTTCGGGGATTTTATGACTTCTACCTGCCTAGGGATGAAATATGGATCTACAACATGGAAACTGGAAGATGGTACAGTAAATAATTAATTTGGGAAAAAATCAGATAAATCCTTAAGTTGGTATAGAAACCATTCTGAGGGGCCGAGCAGGGAAAGAAATCCCTGAGCTCTTTGTTCCCACCTGTCAAACTGTTGCAAAAATGTGTAAACATCAAATATGATTTCCCAGAGTGAAGTAGGAGAGGCAGCTTGGACAGGCAGCCTGGACAGGGGTGTGTGATCACCAGTGTGAAGTGTTCTGGGATGCCTGGGATAGGATATAGCACGTGGGAATTGTATTTGCACCACTTTTGGTGGCAGTGGTGCTCAGGGAACCCCTGCTGAGTTTTCTAACTTGTTGTTCTCTTAAGGAGTTGTTTTTAAACACTGATGCAGCCAAAGAAACTCTGCAGTGCTTTGCAGAAAGTGGGATTTTAGCCGTGTTTCCAGCCCTCCCTGAGGTTGGGGACAGCCTTGGACACGGGCTGGAAGCTCCTCTTTGGGGTTGTGATATTTACAAACAGGAAAAATCCAGTAGCAGAATGGAAACCTGCAGTTTAGACAGGTGCTTCCTCTGTGCCTGAGGATTTGGAACATTCCAAACTCCTGAGCTGGGCAGACAGGATTCCCACCATCCTCCCCTCAAAAAAACCCCATGTATTAATTAAATTACATTTCCCCCACCCCCTCCATCCTAGACCAGCTTGATTTTGTAAATGGTTTCACCTGCAGAGGTGTGAAGAATCCATAACTGAGTGTCCACAGCTGGAACTCCAACCACACTTGGCAGTGATATAAAATTCCCCCCCCCCAGGTAAAACCATTCGTGTCTGTTTTGACCAGGTGAGATATTTTCCACCCTTCTTTTAGGAAGAAGAGCAAAACAGAAGGAGATGTTCCCCCCTCCATGTCTGGCAGCTGTGCCGTGTGTGTGGACAGGGTGGTGTATCTCTTCGGAGGGCACCACGCACGGGGCAACACAAACAAGGTCAGCAATCCGTTGATTCCATCATTTCCCATGAGGATTGTGCCCTGGAAGCTTTGCAGGAACACCCTGACCTGGCATCTGTTCTGTTCTTGTGCAATTCACCCTGCACTGTAAATTCACCCAGCGCCTCTTGAGTTTGCTGCTTTGGAAAGATGGGAATTTCAGGCCAGAGGTGCCTGAAATAATATCAGGAGGTGATCTGGAACTGCTCTGGGATGGGTTTAAATGTTTCTCTTTTCTCTGGAGTCTCTGATAATCCCAGAATCATTAAGGTTGGAAATGATCTCCAAGATCATCGACTCCAACCTGTGACCAATCCCCACCCCGTCAGCTACAATTAATTAATAATATTTTCTGATGTTGTGGCAATGTGCTTTAAATTAAATAGTTTGGGCCTGTATAAATATATAGTTTATATATTGAAATAGAGAGTTATATATTTAAATATAGACTTATATATTTAAATGTATCACTATAAACTGGAAGGAGCTTGATGCAATTTTTGCAGACAGTGTGCAACAAACTGCCTTTATAAAGTGTGACTTCCTTCCTGCTCTGGCATTCTTACATTTCAGTTCTTGTTTGTGTGTGTAGCAGCTATTTCTCTCCCTGTAAAAGGATGCAACGTGCAGAGGAGGGACAAAACTATAAAAACCCCCACTTTTTTCAATTTTTTCAACCATTTTTTAAATTATGAGACAGTTGTTACTCTGTGCACACCTTCAGCGTACCCCATGTCAGCTTTTGGATGGTGAAACTCGATGTTCATAACCTGCTACTTGTGTAAAAAGTGTTTGAGTCTGCAAAGGGCAAAGGATTTGTGAATCCATATTTTGTTCCAAATGTTTTCAGCGAAGAAAAGGACTTTTCATTGTTCCTCTTCCTTTGCCAATGCACGTTAATTAAAAGTTACTGTTTTAACACCCGTGGGACTGAAGCTTTGAACAAACTCAGATTGGAAAAAAATGAAAAGATTAAACAAATCTTTTTTGTTTTGTTTTTTTTCCTCCAGTTCTACATGCTGAATTCCAGATCCACGGACAAGGTGCTGCAGTGGGTGCGAGTGGAGTGTGAGGGGGTGCCCCCCTCGTCCAAGGACAAGCTCGGGGTGTGGGTCTACAGGAACAAGTAAGGGCCCCCCAGGGACTCCCTTTCCATCCCTCCAGCTCATGTCTTGGCTCTGCTTCCAGGGCCTAAAGGGGCTCCAGGAGAGCTGGAGAGGGACTTGGATGGAGGGACAGGACACAGGGAATGGCTTCCCACTGCCAGAGGGCAGGGATAGATGGGATATTGGGAAGGGATTACTGGCTGTGAGGGTGGGCAGGCCCTGGCACAGGTTGGGCAGAGAAGCTGTGGCTGCCCCTGGATCTCTGGAAGTGTCCAAGGCCAGGTTGGACGGGGCTTGGAGCAGCCTGGGCTAGGGGAAGGTGTCCCTGCCCGTGGCAGGGGGTGGAACTGGATGGGCTTTAAAGTCCCTTCCACCCCAAACCATTTTGTGCTTTTGTGGTGATTTTGGAGTAAACTCTAGAGCAGCTTGTGCTGCTTTGGCCATTCCATGGAGAGAGAGCTCACAGCTGGAATAATTGCTGTGGAACTTGTTGCAGAGACTCAGGAAAGATAGGAAAATCCTTGTGTGTCCCTTCCAACTCAGGCTATCCTGTGATTCCCTGGAATTGCCCATGGTGCTGGTTTTCAGGTTGTGGGTGTGGAGAGCGAGCTCATCATTACCATACCTGATGTGATCAGTTCAGATGTAAATCTGAGTTGTGGGTGTTTAATTAGGCGGTGCAGATTGTTTTCAGTCACTCCATAATCCCTTAGGAATTCCTGGCAAAGCCATGCCGTTGGTTCCTTAGAGAGGCTAAAACCCAAAGATCAAACTTGGAGGTAAATCCCATTTTAACACCAGGAGGAGCCTTGTGGGAGCCCTGCTGGCCAAGGCTGAAGTGCAGAGACCAGGCAGCACACCCTGGTGGCTTCCATATATTTGGAATTGGAGCAAAGCTTGGAAGCCTGGGATCTGGGAAGCAGCTCCAGAGGGATTTAGTGTGGGTGGTAGGATTGATTAGGCAAGAAAACTGGAAGTTTTCCACACCTGGAAAACTTGCACCGTGGATGCACCGAAAGTGGTGGAGCCAAAGGAGCTTCTCTGATTTTCCAGTTTGAGCACAGCCTTTACAGAACTTTTAATTTACACCAACAGATGTGACAGAGTTTCTCACAGATCTTGGTCCACGTTTTCTTTCAGGCTGATATTTTTTGGAGGTTATGGCTATTTTCCCGAAGGGAAGCAACGGGGAACGTTTGAATTCGATGAAACCTCTTTTTGGGTAGGTAACCCTGGAAGTCATTCCCGTTTCAACTTTAATATTGAATCAGTGCTTATTAAAACCTGTTGCTTATTTGTGATTTTCAAAGAATTCAGGTCTTCCTAGAGGGTGGAACGACCACGTGCACGTTCTGGACCTTGAAACCTTTACTTGGAGCCAGCCTATAACCACGGTAATCATTGCTCTTGTGTCAATTAATTAAGTCACAGCTCAGTAATGTTAGCCAGCAGTGCTCCTGGAGCCACTTAAACCATTCATTTACACAGATCCACTCTCCAAAACCAGGAAATTTGCCTTTTATTTTGATCTGTCTTCATCTTTTTTTTGTTTTTTCCCTGTGACTTGCTTCCTTTCACGCTTCAGTGGCCTTGTGCTCGTGGGGAGCTCAGGAGGACCAAGTGTGTGGTTTGCTGTCACCCTCACTGCAATGTGAGCCTTTGGGACGTGTCACTCGGGTGCTGAGTTGTGGCCAGGATAGAATTAAACACCCCTAATTTCAAATACACACATTTCAAGTGTCCCTGAAGTGTTCAGGAACAGGGAAAAGGGGTGATGTTGCCACAGAGCTGGAGGAAATGAAATTTGAGGCAAGTAACCCCAGACTGCCAAAGAACTGCTTTGTTTTACTGCACACAGGCCTCAAGGATTTCAGAAACCCAAGAAAAATAACATCTGATAGAACCATAGAATCTCAGAATGGTTTGGGCTGGAAGGAACCTTAAAGCCCATCCAGCTCCAAACCCCTGCTGTGGGCAGGGACACCTTCCACTATCCCAGGTGGCTCCAAGCCCCGTCCACATTGGCCTTGGACACTTAATGATTTATGCACATTATGATTTATTATGCCACTGTCTCATTTACAGTCTGTCTTTTGTGGCTAAAAGCAAAATTTACACACTTTGAGAAGGGAAAAAAATTAAACCCCGTTTTTAACGAGTTTGCTGATCCTCCATCCATCAAAAAGCACTCAGGATGACTTACTGGCTGGCTTTTTTTTTTCACTCTGTTCCTTATTGGCCTTAAATCTGAGTTCCTCTGAACCTTTTTTCCTCCTTGATTTGTGGTGTCACTGTTTCCTTTCCCAGGGCAAAACCCCGTCCCCTCGAGCCGCTCACGCCTGTGCCACGGTTGGGAACAGAGGTTACGTGTTCGGAGGCAGATACAGGGTAAGCCCAGCCCAGTTTAACCCTGGGATGCTCAAACCTAAGCTGAGTCTCTGAACCACCATCTGCTTTGTTGTAGGAGTCCAGAATGAACGACTTTTACTACCTGGACCTGGACACCTGGGAGTGGAACGAAATGTGGGTAACTCAAAGTAAAACTCTGTCGGCTAAAATCCTTTGCTGTGTCTAAAGACATTAAACTTGTTGGGTCAGGTGCACGGGGCGAAGCTGAGTCCTGCAGATCCCTGAAAAATAACCAGGGCAGAAAAGAGCAGCAGGGATTTCACTGTCCCTCCTGTGTAATTTGGGGTGTTTTCATTGCAATGCAGACTCACTCAAGGCATCTGCCCGGTCGGCCGCTCGTGGCATTCCTTAACCCCGATTTCCTCGGATCACCTCTTCCTCTTCGGAGGGTTCACCACTGACAAGCAGCCTCTGAGTAAGTCATTCCACCAAGGGATTTGGTGTTGTCTTTGTGCTCTTGGACAGCTGTGCACAGAAGCTTGACTTACTGCTTGAATTCCTTCTGAATTCCTGCTGTGCACTTGTGATGCAGCTCCTCGTGGCCTGCAGCTAATTCCACAGAGCAGGATGTGGACTGTGTGGAGACACTATTATTTATAGCAAATCATCTGCTCCACACGTGTATCTAATGCAAATTGCAGTTAGTGAGAGCTTTGCAGTTCTCCATCTTCACTCCCGTGAACCTCTGTTACATTAAACACCTGTTGTCCACCAGGAGCCAACGTTTTATAAGGTTTTTCCTAAAAGAATTGATTTATTTGGGAACAGACATGGGCTGTGCTCCACAGGAGTACGTGGTTATCACAGGAAATGTGACAGAACCAACACAATCCTGTTTATAGTTGGGGCTTTGCTTGTTTGCAGGTGATGCTTGGATTTATTGCATCAGCAAGAACGAGTGGATCCAGTTTGAGCATAACTACTCTGAAAAACCAAGGTATGGCAGACAATTTCCTGGAAACTTGTTATACAAGGAGTGTGGAGGCACTTAGTGGTGGCTGTGAGAGACAGGGCACACGTTGCTCTTCACACCTCTCATTTTCCATGTGTCCCAGAGGTTGTGGCTGTGTTGTGCTTCCAGAATTCCAGGTGAGTGCCACACAGGGCGGGTGCTGGAGGCAGCTTTTGGCTGTGAAATGGCAGGAAAGGTGGAATTTGGGGTTTGATCTGGGGATTTAGGGTTTGATTTGGCTGCAGAGGCCTGTGAGTGCCAGCACCAGAGCTAACTGGAACCAGTGTGTGTCCCTGCTGTCCCAGCAAACCGGGCATGGGCCGGTGTCACCGAGCTGGGGCTCATCCCCTGCACACCCACGATGGTTTTGGCTTCCTGCTGAGTAAATAAGAGTTGATGACCTGCAGTTTTAAAGCATCAAAACCTCTGTGATGTGCATGGAAAACACATCTTGGAGTTCCTGGGATCCATCTTGTTTGGGAAGTGCTCTGATCCAGGTTAATGAGTTCAAGCAGTGATGAATCCTGGCCTGGCTTGCAGTGCTCCTGGGGATAAAGAGGGGTCTTCCTGGGGCAGTGACAAGGCTGAGCTGGGTTTTTGGGTTAATGCAGTGCTGCCTTCTGTTTGCAGGCTGTGGCACACGGCCTGTGCCAGCGAGGAGGGAGAGGTGATTATCTTTGGGGGCTGTGCCAACAACCTGCTCGCCCACTCCAAAGCTGTAAGTTGACCTGGAGCGTTCCCTTCCCGGTGCCAGCTCACTCCAGCCAGCTGAGGTGGTTGTAGTTGGCACTGGGATCTGGTGGGGATCACAGAGGTGAGGAGGACATGGTTTGCTCGTGTCCAGAGTCCCTCAGTGCAGATGCCTGAAGGCTTGGAAACCTGCAGGCTTCCTCCAGTGGAAGTGTCCCTGCCCATGTCAAGGGGTGGAAGGATTTAAGATCTCTTCCAACCCAAACCATTCTGGGATTCCTTGATTCCATGATCTGTGAGCCTGGGCTGGGTTGGCTCCTGCTGTCACACTGTGAACTCATATAACCCAATTTCTTCTCTCTCTCTCTCTCTCTCTCTCTCCCCACCCCCAGGCTCACAGCAATGAAATCCTGGTGTTCTCCCTACAACCAAGATCTCTAGTAAGGTAAGAAAGCAAGACTTCAACATTAAACTCTCGTGTCCCCAGCTTAGATGGCAGGAAGAAATTCCTTGCTGGGAGGGTGGGCAGGCCCTGGCACAGGTTGCCCAGAGAAGCTGTGGCTGCCCCTGGATCCCTGGAAGTTTCCCAAGGTGGGAGCAACCTGGGCTAGTGGAAGGTGTCCCTGCCCATGGCAGGGGGTGGGACTGGATGAGGTTTAAGGTCCCTCCCAACCCAAACCATTCTGTGATTTTAGGACAGGTGGTGCAGGGTTACCACCAGACCTGTTCATGTTCCTAAAATCCTGGAAAACACTTCTTCCTTTAAGGAATGCTGCCAGAGCAGCAGCCAGTGGTGAGGATGGAGCAGGATTCCTCTCAGCACAGTGTTTGGCACTGCTGATGAGAACCATCTCCAAGGAACGAGCTTCCCTTGCAGCCTTCTCCCCGCTATAACAGCATCCCCGTCTCCCCTCTCCCAGGCTGTGCCTCGAGGCAGTGATCTGCTTCAAGGAGATGCTGGCCAGTTCCTGGAACTGCCTCCCCAAGCACCTGCTGCACAGCGTCAACCAGCGCTTCGGCAGCAACAACACCTCTGGCTCCTGAGCCCCGGGGCAGCCCCGGGGGGACGATCCCCACATTAAAGGTGTGTAGGTTAAACCTCTGTGTCGTCCTAGGTAGTCGCTTCTCGCCTTTCCGTTGCATGTGAATGGCCTAGAGAGAACCTATTTTTGTGTCGAGATGTTTGCAATAAATGTATTTAATGCAAGTGGAGATGCAGCCTGAGCTGAAGCTGGAACCAGTGCTGGGGTTGTGCACCTTGAGGCAGCTGTGAGGCCACCCTGAGCCCCTGGAGACACGTGTTGGAGAGTCCCCAGTCCAGGAGCTGGAGAATCATAGAATCATAGAATAGATTGGGTTGGAAAACACCTCCAAGATCATCAAGTCCAAGACTGTGCAGGGAATGCTGAGCACACCACGACCATGGAGCGTTGCTTTAGTCTAGGCTGCAGGTCCTGTTGTAATCCACAGCTTAACGTTTTGCCACAAATGCTTAAGGTCAGAGAAGCAGGATTGGGAAACTGTCCGTTGTCAGTCGATCAACTGTCGTAAACCTCGAGATGTTAAAGCGCCACTACTCTCTGCTTGGCTGTAGTTTGGTTTTTTGGAACTCTTTTATGTTGTGGAACTTGAATTGTGAACCTTGGGTAGCAGATATTCTGCCCTGAGAGTGTAACTGAAAGTGCTTGAGCCTGTTCCCGGCCGTGTCCGTACCTGTGGAACTCCCCTGGAGCAGCCCCGAGGCTGGAGGGACACGGAGAAGGGCAGGGCTGCCTTGGCTGCCCCAGCTCCCAGGGGACACGGGGGACAGGAAGGGGCTGTGCTGCTGTGGGGAAGGGGGGAATCATGTTTTAAACTGTCTTCAAACAAACAATTAAAAACTTGGACTCCTAGAACAATCCCTGTGCTGTAATTCCTGATGGAAATGGAGCATCAACACGTGTGGAGCAGCTCAGCCATGGACATACCAACCATGGCCCAGACATGGACAATGGGGTTATAACAGCTCCAGCTCTCCAGTTCTTAGAATCACAGAATCAGAATCAGATGGGTTGGAAGGGACCTCTGAGATGATCAAGTACAACCCTTGATCCACTACCACTCCAGTTAGTGCCATGGTCTAGTAAGTGCCACATCCATTTGCACCAAGATGCAGATAAGTGTGAAAAAGCCAAGTGTTTATTATCGTCAGGGGAAGGGGAGGGATGAAGTGGGGTCAGGAGAAGGGAAGGGAAGGGAGGGAGCCGTCCATGGGGCTGCAGAGCCAGGAGCTGCCTGGCCTTGCCGGCTGGCTCAGTTGGGCCCAGCATCAGCTGGAGCTGCAGCTGCGCTGGGAAGTGGTCCCTGGGCTGTCGTCCCGAGTGGTTGCAGGGACATTGGTCGCCTCAGCGGAGCACGTGGAGCTCTGACTGCACTCCTGTAGGTGGCCATGAGTGCATTCCTCAAGTTGGAGGTGGAGGGGCAGTCGTCCTCGCTCATGGCTCCAAGGGCTGGAAGAGAGAGGAAGGGAGCCGGGGTCAGAGCGTGGCTGTGCGGGGACCCGAGGAGCCCCTGGTGCCAGGGCCATGGCAGCAGCTCTTGGCACGGCCAGGAGGGAGCAGGGGCCAAGAGGAGGAGCGGGAAGGTGCCCCTGCAGTGTGTGTGTGCTCTGGGCACGCCGTGCAGGGAGCAGAGCCCTGTGCGGGCGGGGCGGGGATTGCAGCTCCCTGCCCAGGGTCTGTGCTCCTGCCCCGCAGCCCCCAGGGAGGCCCCGCTGCCCTCACTCACCCTTGAGGATGGGCCACAGGTCTTCCTGCTGCTCCCTCATGTGCCAGCCGGCGACCCCTGGGAACACAGAGGCTGTCAGGGCCCCAGCGGTGTCCCAGCTCCCCCCCAGCGGCGCTGCCAGCCTGGCCATGTGGCCCCTGTGGCTGGGGCCGAGCTGCAGCGGGGCGGGAGGGACCGCGGCCTTGGGGCTCACCCATGAACCTGACGGCCGCCTCTCGCAGGGGCTCCTGGGGGCTCTGCAGGAAGGGCAGGGCCTGGCGCAGGTGCTCGCCCCTTCGGCTCAGCTCCTTCTCCATCTGCAGAGAGCAGGGGGTGTCTGTGGGGGCAGCAGTGCCAGGGGCACAGGGCCAGCCCCGCACACTGCGCATCAGGGGCTGGGGCTTCTCCAGCCTGGGCTCGTCCTTACCAGGCAGTCGCAGAACCCAAAGTGCTGCTCGGTCTTCACCAGCTGCTCCAGGTCCCTCCTCTGCAGGAACCTTGCAGCCCAGAGCAGCGCTTCCCGAGCGGCCTGCAGAGCAGCAGAGAGCGGCACATGGCACCACAGCCCAGGGCACAGCACCTGCGTCCCTGCACCGAGGCCGGCAGGAGGATGGAGCCCTTGAGGCCCCAGGGCAGGAGGCAGCCCAGCCCCTGCCCCGGGGACACCAGAGCCCACCAGTGCTCACCTCTGCCACGCGCTGGTTCTCGTCCTGCCAGCGGAAGAACAGGGGGACCAGGCTCTGCCACGCCTGCTTCTCCCAGAGCCACGTTCCCTCTTCCGCCACCAACTCCATCACCTCTCGGAAGAGGCGAATGGAGAGCAGCTGCACGTGGCTGTTGTCCTGGGGCCAAAGAAGAGAAAACACCTCAGCACTGCCTGCTCCACGCCCACCAGGCCCAAAAATCTCCCCCGGGTTTCCTGGCAGCACCCAGCGCCTGTGGCTGGGGGCACAGAGCCTTACGTGGTCAAAGAGTGGCCGGAGCGCCTCAGCCAGCCTCGGGGCAATGGGGCTGAATCCCTCCCTGTCTTCCTCGTCCCGGAGCACATTCCGGAAAATGGAGAGGGTCATCCTGACCAGCTCTCCATCTCCATCACGCAGCAGCTCCAGGAGGTGCTCAGACAGGCTGCAGATGCTTTTGGCCTGTGTGGAACACAAGGCTGTGCTGTGAAGCCCTGAAGAGCTGCCCCACCAACACCACCCTGGCACTGCAGCCCCAGGCTGCTGCCCCAGGACACAGAGACCAAAGGCCTGTCCCACAGGGCCTGGGCAGCTGGAGAGGGAGGCAGGAGAGCTGGGAGCAGCTGCCACAGCTCCCCAAGCCCAGCCAAGGCCAAGCCTTGCCCAGCCCCAGGCTGCCCGTGTGGCTTCAGCCCCTGCCCCCTTCTCACCATGGAGGGATCCACGCTGAGCACCAGCAGCTCTCGCAGAGCCAGGTGCTGCCTCTCTGGGCACTGGCTCTGCAGGTGCCTTGCCAGGATCTGCACCTGGAGGGGAGAGGGGGACACTTGGAGAGCAGCCAGAGCCAGCAGGTAGCCCTCAATGGCTCAGGGGGCCCAGCAGAGCTGGCTTGAGGGACCACAAGAGCCCTGGAGGGCTCGAGCCCTGGCCACAGGGTGCTTACTTCATCTGTGCTGGGGACACCTTTCTGCTCCCAAAGATCCAGACTGGGAGCATCAGTCACACTCTGCATGGCTGTGCAGTCAGTGCTGGTGATGCCCTCAGTCGTGGCGTCAGCCTCAGCCCTGACATCAGTTGGAGCGGTGTCAGAGCTTGACTCGGTGTCAGCCAGCGTGGTGTCACAGGTGGCTGTGCCATCGACTGGTGCCATGTCAGAGGTGGCTGAGGTGTCATCCATGGGCGCTGTGTCGGTGGTTGCTGCGCCCTCAACCTCTGCCATGTCAGAGCTGTCTGTGCCATCAAGATCTTCTGTGACACAGTTGGCTCCGCAATCAGGGGCTGCCACGTCGGTGGTTTCTGTTCCATCAGTGGCTGCCCTGTCAGAGGTTGCTGTGCCATCAGCCAGTTCCACATCACCACTGGCTGCACAGTCCATGGGTGCAGAGCTGACATCAGGCTCCCCCTCGAGCTCGGCTGCGCTGGTCTCAGGCTGTGCCACGAGCTCGGGCGGTGCAGTCGTGGCCGTTCTGCGCCGAACTCCCACGAATTTCAGCAACCTCTGCAGGAGAAGAAAGGGCAGGGAGGAGAGGGAAGTGGCATGGAGTGCTGTGACAGCGGTGCCAGGCGGAGCAGGGACAGCAGTCCCAGCCCAGGGGGGATGGCTGCAGGTACCTGAACTGCCCTGCGGAAGCGGCCACGGGCGCGGTCCTGCTCTGCTGGGCGGTCCCGGCCTGGATCTGGCAAAGAGCGAGCGCAGTCAGAGCTGAGGGGCTGCGGGAGAGCCCAGAGAACACAGCCCAGCCCTGCGCTCCACAGGCAGGGCCAGCCCTGGGATGCCCAGGGGATGGAGCACGGATGCCGGGGGGATCAGCCTTGGCCCCTCTTCCCCCTCCCTTTCCCTGGCCATGTCCAGAGGGGACGGGAAGGGGCCCAGCTCCGGCAGCCCCATCCCTGTGGGCAGCTGCAGCACTCACCCTGCTGCAGTGGCTGGAAGTGCTGCACCTCCTCCTCGGGTTCCTGTGCTGGGCCAGCTCCAGGGCCTCTCCTGTTCTTCCTCTGCCTCCGGAGCAGCCCGCACAGGCCGAAGCATCCCCCCGCCATGGCACAGTCTGGCCTCGAGGGCAGCTGCGGGAGAGATGCCTGGGAAAAACCCCTGGTGGCCAAGTGTGACTCAATGGCCTCAGGGGCTCCTGCCACAGGGACTGCTGATGGCTTGGAAACGTCCCTGGTGGCAAAGTCTCAACAAATGGCCTCAAGGGCCACTGCCACAGGCACTGGTGACTCCTCGGAAAAGCTCCGGGGCACCAAGGCCCGTGGCCTGGCCTCGAGGGCCACTCCCACAGGGAGTGGGGATGGCTCGGAAACGCTCCGGGTCACCAACTCCTGTGGACTGGCCTCGAGGGATCTTGATCAAAAGAGAGCTCTCGGAAAAGCTTCTGGTCGGCAAAGACTGAGTTGGCTGCGAGGAGACTCCTCACAGCACCGCTCTGTCCCGTCCTGCCCAGTCGCGCGCTCCGAGCGCTGTGGCGTGGCCGCGTTGACGCCAACACCTTTATCCCCACGTGTCACAGAGGGCCCTTGGACACCCTGCCCGTCCCAGCCACCGTGTCACAAAGGGCCCTGTGACACACGGCCACGGGCCCTGGGGCCTCCCCCAGCCTGGCCCGGGGACTTCCCTGCCAGAGGGCGGCCAAAGCCCACGGGCACCGATGTCTGCGCTCCTGCAGGGCTGTTGGCAGGAGCAGCTGCAGCCACTGGGGGCAAGGCTTGGCATCCCTGCCAAGGCAGAAGCTGGGGCTCCTTCCTGAGTTCTTCATGGAACTCATGACCTGCAGCACAAAAACACCTTGGCTGGGATGGTTCAGAAGCATCTGGCATTTAATCCCCCTAAATTCGGGAAAGCATGGCTTCCCAGTCCTCAGCACAAGGAGCTGAAGGAATTTGCAAACTTCCCAAGGTCACTGAGTTGGGAGGACCCAAGAACATCAAGTATTTGGAAGTTTGCTTCCCAGCTCAAACCTGCAACTCCTTTGCCTTCATGTGGTACACTGAGAGTCAACTTCAGAACATGAACTGAGGCAAAAAATCTGGGCATTGATTGGTTTGAAAAAGGTTTTCTATTAAGGGATAATAATATGAACATTCAAACCTGAGAAAAATAAAACTACCCAAAATCAACACGGCTGAGGCTAAAATGCATTTCAGAAGGAACATCAACATCCCCATCCCACACACCCCCTCAGCACCTTCCCAGTCAGGAATTTCATCCCAAGCTCTAGGAGCAGAGGAAGTGAGGGCTTTGCTTGGCAGCCAGAGGATTCCACAGAACTAACACACAACCTGAGCTGGGGACAAAAGGGAACTCAAACACTGCTTGACAGGAGCAATATTCCAGCAGCTGTCAGCTGTGCACATCAGGAATTGTCAGGGATGCACTTGGGGCTGCCTGGGCTTGCAAGGAGTGAAGGACTTTCCGGACAATCCTGTCCCTCCCAGGCAGCCAAGTGGCTGCAGGGTGACAGTTTCACCAGGGGTTGTCACCGCAGAGTCGGTGCCTCCAGCTGTGCTTCAGTGGGATGCCCAGGGTGCTGGCTTTGTCCCTAAAGAGCCCATTTCTCATTTCTGCAGGAGAAAAGAGGTTTGTGGGCAGCACAGCTGCTGGGACAGCCTCCTTCTCCCAACAAGCTGGCTGGGAGCAAGCTGGATGCACTTGGGAAAGGCTTGGGGGGTGGTGAGGTGTGGATGGAGGGATCCACATGGATCTGCAGAGCAGAAGGCTGCAACAGAGATGTTTTCAGGGAGCTTTGCTGAGGGAGCTGGGGGGGTTCATCCTGGAGAAAAGGAGGCTCAGGGGGGACCTTCTGGCTCTGCAACTCCCTGACAGGAGGGGGAACAAGGGACAGGAGGAGAGGGAACGGCCTCAAGTTACAGCAGGGGAAGTTCAGGTGTGCTATTTGGGAGAACTGTTCATGGAAAGGGCGGTCCAGCCCTGGCACAGCTGCCCAGGGCAGGGCTGGAGTCATGTAAGTCTCCAAGCCCTTGGAGCTGCCAGCTCACAGGATGGGCTAGGAATTTTATTTTAATATATAGATACAGGGTTCTTTAATACCTCGGGATAGCAGCAAGAGAATAAGCCACGGGCTTGTTCCCAAGGGATTTCTTTTTATATTTAGGGGAGCAAATAAGGGCACTTGGCCAAAGTTCAAAAGGACACCACACAAAGCAGGACAAAAATGCTCCACCACAATACTGGCTCAGCATATCCCAGGAACTCACAACACTGCAGTCGAAATCCAGTAAACCAACAACACTGAAATCAAGATCCAATAAACCAACAACACTTAAGGCAACATCCAACCAACTGCACAACACTGAAATCAAGATCTGATCCCTCCAGCTCCAAACCACCCCAAACATCAAGAAACGAGCAGAGAAACAGAAGCAGAAGAAGAGGCAGCAAGAAGAGAGAAGGAGAAAGAGGGAGAGGCAGATCATGGAGCTACCCCCGCAGCCTCCTAGCACATCAGCTCTCCCCACTCCCACGGCAGGGCCAGCACACGAGGCAAACACGTGGCCCTGGTTTTCTTTGCTCCGGTCCCTCTGGCCGAGCCCCCAGGCGGGGTCTGTGCCCCAGCAGCCACTCCGGGGCTTCCAGGCCGGGCTGAGGGGCGGGTTCTGCCTGTCCCTGCCAGGGGGAGCTGGTGCGGGGCTGCAGGAGCTGTGGGCTGTTCCAGTTTGGGGCTGTTCCAGTTTGGGGCTGTTTGGCACTGACAGCGACTGCGGGGCTGTCCCAGGGGGGCTGCCCTGAGGGACACGCTCCGAGAGGTTCCACCCATCCCTTCCCCTTCCACACCCATCGGAGTGCACTGATGAGAAGATGGAGCGTGATGGCGAGGTGGAATCTGCTTCGCCACTGTCTGGAGCACGGAGTTAAAGCGCCCCGGTGCCCCAGCCGGGCTGCTGCAGGAGCCGAGCCTTGCCAAAGCTCCCGGAGGCACCGAGCGAGCCAGCAGAGCCGGGCAGAGGAGCGCAAGAGAGAAACAGCTGTGACAATCCAAAGGCGCAGGCAGGACTCGCTCTCCCCAGTCGGGTGTGCCCGGCAGATCTCGCTCGGAGCCCGGGGAAGCAGCCGGGGGACACTCAGGGCCCCTCTTGGTGCCAGGCGACCGTGGCTGGGATCCTGGTGAAGTGGCCCGTGGGCATCCGGGGGGAGCAGGGCGAGGGGATTTCGGGCCGTGCCCGGGGACTGGGGGGCTGTCGGAGCACTGCTGTGGGAGCTGCTGCCACTCTGTTCCCCTGCCGCTTGGGCTCCTTCCCCGCAGGATGCAGGGGGAGCAGGGAAGAAGCCCAGCAGGGATCTCCCAGCTCCCAAGCCAGCAGCACTTCCTGGGGGTATAAAAGTCCTGTCCTCTGCTTTTAGCAGTTCCCCTCAGCTTTTGCCACTTGTCTGTCTGCCTTCTTTCTCTCGGCTCTTCTGTGTTACAAAAGGAAGTTGAATTCTCGTTTTGGGATCCAACAGCTGCCTCCTTTGTGCCTTAATCTGGCTCCTGGGGATGAGCTCTGTTCTCAGGGGACACGCAGTGCCTGCTGTGCTTGCAGTTCCTGAGCTGCCCCAGCGTGGCTTTGCCCCACAGGCTGAGGAGTGCCCCTTGCCCTGCCCCTCTGCAAAGTGCAACAGGACAGAAACAGTGAAGCGGCCACAGAGAGCCAGAGTGAAAAATTTGTGCCTCCCTTGCCGGGAACTCTTTGGGAAGCACTTTCCTTGGGATGCAAGCCCCTTGCCTCCCCACGCATGGCCCCCAGGTCTTGGGTTTTCATGGGGAAACTCAGCACACCTTTCAGCAACATCTTGAAGTGCACAGTGCTGTGCAAGTGGCCCTTCAGGACAGGCCCCTTTGCAGCCTGAAGTGCCCGTGTCCCTCTGGGTGTGTGCCCACAGTGCAAGGGGCAAAAGAGAGGCAGGAGGGGCCCGTGAGCTGCAGGGCTGAGGGTTTGTGCCCTTTCAGTTGCACCAAGATGCAGATAACAAGAAAAAGACAATGTTTATTAATGTCAGGGTAAGGGGAGGGATGAAGTGGGGTCAGGAGAAGGGAAGGGAAGGGAGGGAGCCGTCCATGGGGCTGCAGAGCCAGGAGCTGCCTGGCCTTGCCGGCTGGCTCAGTTGGGCCCAGCATCAGCTGGAGCTGCAGCTGCGCTGGGAAGTGGTCCCTGGGCTGTCGTCCCGAGTGGTTGCAGGGACATTGGTCGCCTCAGCGGAGCACGTGGAGCTCTGACTGCACTCCTGTAGGTGGCCATGAGTGCATTCCTCAAGTTGGAGGTGGAGGGGCAGTCGTCCTCGCTCATGGCTCCAAGGGCTGGAAGAGAGAGGAAGGGAGCCGGGGTCAGAGCGTGGCTGTGCGGGGACCCGAGGAGCCCCTGGTGCCAGGGCCATGCCAGCAGCTCTTGGCACGGCCAGGAGGGAGCAGGGGCCAAGAGGAGGAGCGGGAAGGTGCCCCTGCAGTGTGTGTGTGCTCTGGGCACGCCGTGCAGGGAGCTGCAATCCCCGCCCCGCCCGCACAGGGCTCTGCTCCCTGCCCAGGGTCTGTGCTCCTGCCCCGCAGCCCCCAGGGAGGCCCCGCTGCCCTCACTCACCCTTGAGGATGGGCCACAGGTCTTCCTGCTGCTCCCTCATGTGCCAGCCGGCGACCCCTGGGAACACAGAGGCTGTCAGGGCCCCAGCGGTGTCCCAGCTCCCCCCCAGCGGCGCTGCCAGCCTGGCCATGTGGCCCCTGTGGCTGGGGCCGAGCTGCAGCGGGGCGGGAGGGACCGCGGCCTTGGGGCTCACCCATGAACCTGACGGCCGCCTCTCGCAGGGGCTCCTGGGGGCTCTGCAGGAAGGGCAGGGCCTGGCGCAGGTGCTCGCCCCTTCGGCTCAGCTCCTTCTCCATCTGCAGAGAGCAGGGGGTGTCTGTGGGGGCAGCAGTGCCAGGGGCACAGGGCCAGCCCCGCACACTGCGCATCAGGGGCTGGGGCTTCTCCAGCCTGGGCTCGTCCTTACCAGGCAGTCGCAGAACCCGAAGTGCTGCTCGGTCTTCACCAGCTGCTCCAGGTCCCTCCTCTGCAGGAACCTTGCAGCCCAGAGCAGCGCTTCCCGAGCGGCCTGCAGAGCAGCAGAGAGCGGCACATGGCACCACAGCCCAGGGCACAGCACCTGCGTCCCTGCACCGAGGCCGGCAGGAGGATGGAGCCCTTGAGGCCCCAGGGCAGGAGGCAGCCCAGCCCCTGCCCTGGGGACACCAGAGCCCACCAGTGCTCACCTCTGCCACGCGCTGGTTCTCGTCCTGCCAGCGGAAGAACAGGGGGACCAGGCTCTGCCACGCCTGCTTCTCCCAGAGCCACGTTCCCTCTTCCGCCACCAACTCCATCACCTCTCGGAAGAGGCGAATGGAGAGCAGCTGCACGTGGCTGTTGTCCTGGGGCCAAAGAAGAGAAAACACCTCAGCACTGCCTGCTCCAGGCCCACCAGGCCCAGGCCTGAATCTCCCCCGGGTTTCCTGGCAGCACCCAGCACCTGTGGCTGGGGGCACAGAGCCTTACGTGGTCAAAGAGTGGCCGGAGCGCCTCAACCAGCCTCGGGGCAGTGGGGCTGAATCCCTCCCTGTCTTCCTCGTCCCGGAGCACATTCCGGAAAATGGAGAGGGTCATCCTGACCAGCTCTCCATCTCCATCACGCAGCAGCTCCAGGAGGTGCTCAGACAGGCTGCAGATGCTTTTGGCCTGTGTGGAACACAAGGCTGTGCTGTGAAGCCCTGAAGAGCTGCCCCACCAACACCACCCTGGCACTGCAACCCCACGCTGCTGCCCCGGGACACAGAGACCAAAGGCCTGTCCCACAGGGCCTGGGCAGCTGGAGAGGGAGGCAGGAGAGCTGGGAGCAGCTGCCACAGCCAAGACCAAGCCACTGCCTTGCCCAGCCCCAGGCTGCCCGTGTGGCTTCAGCCCCTGCCCCCTTCTCACCATGGAGGGATCCACGCTGAGCACCAGCAGCTCTCGCAGAGCCAGGTGCTGCCTCTCTGGGCACTGGCTCTGCAGGTGCCTTGCCAGGATCTGCACCTGGAGGGGAGAGGGGGACACTTGGAGAGCAGCCAGAGCCAGCAGGTTGCCCTCAATGGCTCAGGGGGCCCAGCGGAGCTGGTTTGAGGGACCACAAGAGCCCTGGAGGGCTCGAGCCCTGGCCACAGGGTGCTTACTTCATCTGTGCTGGGGACACCTTCCTGCTCCCAAAGATCCAGACTGGGAGCATCAGTCACACTCTGCATGGCTGTGCAGTCAGTGCTGGTGATGCCCTCAGTCGTGGCGTCAGCCTCAGCCCTGACATCAGCTGGAGCGGTGTCAGAGCTTGACTCGGTGTCAGCCAGCGTGGTGTCACAGGTGGCTGTGCCATCGACTGGTGCCATGTCAGAGGTGGCTGAGGTGTCATCCATGGGCGCTGTGTCGGTGGTTGCTGCGCCCTCAACCTCTGCCATGTCAGAGCTGTCTGTGCCATCAAGATCTTCTGTGACACAGTTGGCTCCGCAATCAGGGGCTGCCACGTCGGTGGTTTCTGTTCCATCAGTGGCTGCCCTGTCAGAGGTTGCTGTGCCATCAGCCAGTTCCACATCACCACTGGCTGCACAGTCCATGGGTGCAGAGCTGACATCAGGCTGCCCCTCGAGCTCGGCTGCGCTGGTCTCAGGCTGTGCCACGAGCTCGGGCGGTGCAGTCGTGGTCGTTCTGCGCCGAACTCCCACGAATTTCAGCAACCTCTGCAGGAGAAGAAAGGGCAGGGAGGAGAGGGAAGTGGCATGGAGTGCTGTGACAGCGGTGCCAGGCGGAGCAGGGACAGCAGTCCCAGCCCAGGGGGGATGGCTGCAGGTACCTGAACTGCCCTGCGGAAGCGGCCACGGGCGCGGTCCTGCTCTGCTGGGCGGTCCCGGCCTGGATCTGGCAAAGAGCGAGCGCAGTCAGAGCTGAGGGGCTGCAGGAGAGCCCAGAGAACACAGCCCAGCCCTGCGCTCCACAGGCAGGGCCAGCCCTGGGATGCCCAGGGGATGGAGCACGGATGCCGGGGGGATCAGCCTTGGCCCCTCTTCCCCATCCCTTTCCCTGGCCATGTCCAGAGGGGATGGGAAGGGGCCCAGCTCCTGCAGCCCCATCCCTGTGGGCAGCTGCAGCACTCACCCTGCTGCAGTGGCTGGAAGTGCTGCACCTCCTCCTCGGGTTCCTGTGCTGGGCCAGCTCCAGGGCCTCTCCTGTTCTTCCTCTGCCTCCGGAGCAGCCCGCACAGGCCGAAGCATCCCCCCGCCATGGCACAGTCTGGCCTCGAGGGCAGCTGCGGGAGAGATGCCTGGGAAAAACCCCTGGTGGCCAAGTGTGACTCAGTGGCCTCAGGGGCTCCTGCCACAGGGACTGCTGATGGCTTGGAAACGTCCCTGGTGGCAAAGTCTCAACAAATGGCCTCAAGGGCCACTGCCACAGGCACTGGTGACTCCTCGGAAAAGCTCCGGGGCACCAAGGCCCGTGGCCTGGCCTCGAGGGCCACTCCCACAGGGAGTGGGGATGGCTCGGAAACGCTCCGGGTCACCAACTCCTGTGGACTGGCCTCGAGGGATCTTGATCGAAAGAGAACTCTCGGAAAAGCTTCTGGTCGGCAAAGACTGAGTTGGCTGCGAGGAGACTCCTCACAGCACCGCTCTGTCCCGTCCTGCCCAGTCGCGCGCTCCGAGCGCTGTGGCGTGGCCGCGTTGACGCCAACACCTTTATCCCCACGTGTCACAGAGGGCCCTTGGACACCCTGCCCGTCCCAGCCACCGTGTCACAAAGGGCCCTGTGACACACGGCCACGGGCCCTGGGGCCTCCCCCAGCCCGGCCCGGGGACTTCCCTGCCAGAGGGCGGCCAAAGCCCACGGGCACCGATGTCTGCGCTCCTGCAGGGCTGTTGGCAGGAGCAGCTGCAGCCACTGGGGCAAGGCTTGGCATCCCTGCCAAGGCAGAAGCTGGGGCTCCTTCCTACCACGATGTCTTCATGGAACTCATGACCTGCAGCACAAAAACACCTTGGCTGGGATGGTTCAGAAGGATCTGGCATTTAATCCTCCTAAATTCAGGAAAGCATGACTTCCCAGTCCTCAACACAAGAAATTGCAAACTTCCCAATGTCACTTAATTGGGAGGTCCCAAGAACTTGGAAGTTTGCTTCCCAGCTCAAACCTGAAACTCCTTTTTCTTCACGTGTTCCATAAACTTCAGTAAATGACCTGAGGCAAAAAATCTGGGCATTGATTGGTTTGCAAATGATTTTCTATGAAGGGATAATAATAGAAATATTAAAACTGGGAAAAAAATAGTACTACCCAGAATGATCATGGCTGAGGCTAAAATTCATTTCAGAAGGAACATCAACATCTCCACCCCACCCACCCCCTTCAACACCTTCTGGCTCTGCATCTCCCTGACAGGAGGGTGGAGCCCAGTGGGAGTTGGGCTCTGCTCCCAGGGAACAAGGGGCAGAAGGAGAGGAAACAGCCTCAAGTTGCAACAGGGGAGGTTTAGAGTGGATATTAGGGAAAATTGTTCATGAAAATGGTTGTCCAGCCCTGGCACAGCTGCACAGGGCAGTGGTGGATTCACCATCCCTGGAGGGATTTAAAAGCCATGTGGATGTTGTTGCACTTGGGGACATGGGTCAGTGGTGAACGCGGCAGTGCTGGGGGACAGGTTGGACTCGATGATCTTAGAGGGCTTTTCCAACCTTAATGATTCCATGATTCCCTCTTCACAGAGAGTCCTCACAGTTCACCAGCACCTCAGCCATGTATAAGTGTAGCTCAGATGTTGCTGGTCCTGTGGTAGTGGTTGGGAATCCCAGAAGGGGATGAGGTCTCAAGGCCAAAACCTATGGTAGAAGAAGAAATCCCAAAGGGCAGAACTGCCTTGCCAAATATTTTTGCAGATATTTTTTGTTTTGAAGCTCGTGCCTTCAGGTATTTTCCTGAAGACAAACTCACCAGCATTGTCATGAGGATTTATTTAGTCATTCCTGCAGCAAAATGCTGCTACAAACCTTGCTTACCTGGCAGCTGAGCTCCTTTCTTGCTGGTGATTCTTATCTCTGAGTTGAGCAAAGGATATGAAATATGCTTTCATCCGATTGGGAAGCAGGTAAGAAGGATAAGAAGAGATAAGAAGGGACTTGTTTGCCAGTGGGATGTGCAAAGATTATAGGAACATTGCTGCAGTCCTGCACAACAGAGAGGTGGCTGATGGAGCCTCTGAGAGGCAATAATCAGGACTCATCCCAAAATGTATGGTGCAGGTCGTGTGCATTTTGTTGTGACTGAGCCTCTGGTGTTTTTTGTGTGTGTGTATTTTGTTTATACACAAAACCCCAAACCAAAACCAACCAGTCAGCCAAAAAACAAAACAAAACAAAAACCCCAAACAAATCCAGACCTTAGTTTTACAGGGGAAAATGTTTGGATTTTATTGCTATCATATGCTGTGAAGGTTTAACTCAATATCTGCTCTAAATGAGAAAAGTGTATAAAAATAAAGTGGCCTTTTCTGATCTGAGGACCTTGCACAACACATGACCATTTTGTAACAGCAGCTGCTCCAAGGGTCCTCCTGGGACATGTGATCCTGGCTTTGCTTTTGAGAAGAAATTCTTGCTTGTGAGGGTGGTGAGGCCCTGGCACAGGTTGCCCAGAGAAGTCGTGGCTGCCCCATCCCTGGAAGTGTTGAAAGCCAGGCTGGACAGGACTTGGAGAAACCTGGGCTAGTGGAAGGTGTCCCTGCCCATGGCATGGGGTGGAATGAAATAGTGTTTAAGGTCCCTTCTAGATGTGCCTTATTTTATCCACAGAGCAGCCCCGTGAGCATCTGTAAGTCCTGCTGACACTCTGAATCACACTGAAAAAAAAAAAGCTTGGTTCTGCTTCAAAACCAGCCAAACTCCCATCATCTTCCCTGGGGTCAGGATGTTACCCTGGGACTCCGTGTACCACAAGCTGTTGCGTGCAGATGGACTCTGATCCTCTTCAAAGCTTCACTGGTTTTCCTGGGGCTGCAGATGGCTCGGGGATCTGCTGCACGGAGCAGGGCTGGAGCAAGTGCTCAGAGGAAAGAGACAACAGAGACACCAGCTCGGAGGGACTGCCACGTGCTGGAGTAGTTTTGCAGATCCTACAGCCTTCTGGAGCTTCCCTACTGGGGTGGTGGGCCAGAAGGTGTAACCAGGAGTCAGGGGAAGACAGCAGCAAAGTTCAAACCTGAGTGTGCTGCTAAACACTGCTTAAAATTCCCTGGAGATTTCAAGGACAACCAGCGATGTTCAACACCTCCCCTCCCTTGGAGTCCACCTTTTTCCTAATGTCACTCTTTTCCACACGATGGAAAACAAAGTCTAATGTGTGGTGAAAAGGTCAAACCCACTGCAATTTGGGAATATGATGCTTCCGACCAGGGCTTTCCTGAGGAAAACATTTCCCAGAAATTTTTGACATTACCAATTAATTACCAAGTACTGCGTGAGCCACGAACGGTGGTAACCAGAGGGGGAAAAAACCCAGGGAGATGTCTCGGATGACCACGAGATGGCAGCTGGAGCCTGGGAAGTTCTTTGTGGACACAGTAGCTCCCATGGAAAAGGGATTCATTTGCCAAGCCAGTCTGCACTTGGGAATATGCACCTGCACCGCGTTGGCTTTGAACGTTTTGCGTGCGTGCTCTGAGTGGGAGAGCTCTGGAATATCTGATTACCCCTTTCACTTCCCAGCTCCTCCGAGCCTTCCTCGATTAGTCGGTATCAAATAAATGGTTTTAACCAGTGTAATCCCTGTTGATAGGAAAACAGCAGTGCACCTGGTTTAACACGGCCGTTAGGATCCAGGCTGCTCCGACACCTAATTCAGCAGAGATCCAGAGCCAGATGCTCTGCCATCCCCATGCCATGACCTCTCCTGTCTGCAATTTCTCCTCGAGCTGGACTTTAAAAGGCTAACTATGCGTGTTGTTAATCAATGATTGTGCTTCATTCCAGGGGAGACCACATTTCAGCAGCAGTTTAAGCAAACCCTTGGATGCCCTTCATCCCTGCAGTGCAATTTGGATGGGCTCTGCAAAGCTCTGGCCCGTGGAGATGCCCCCTCCAAGGTTTGGGAGAGGATCCACAAGCAGTTAAACAGCTCTCGACGCAGGCAGAGTGAGGCCTGAGGCTTCTCGGCCTTGTTAAGATCCTCACAAGGACCAGAGAAATGTGAACTGGAAAGCGGCACTTTAGGGCAGAAATTAATTATCCCGGCACAATGAAGGAATGCTCATTTACATAGATGGATTTTAAGACCGTGGAAGAAGCACATGTGGTGGTCAAGGTAGTAATTTGGAAATCCTGCTGGGAAGCCATTTGGTTTGGGGCCAGCCTACATGAGAACTGTCAATGCATTTGGCTGCTTTCCCCAGAAGTGACAGCGTGGTACGTTCCATCCCCACCTTTCCCAGCTGCTCC